TTCCCACCAGCAGTGCACAAGTGTTCCTTTTTCTCCACAAGGAAGTCTGTTTTCTTAAAGAAATTATTGTATGGGTTTCTGTTTTGTAATGTTTTTTTGGGAAGTTGGAAAATTCTTTTTTTAAAAGATACATGGTTGGCTATTCCCAAAACTTTTTGTGGTACTCAATCATTATATTAATAATCAGTGAATAGACTTGAAAGCTATTTATTTAAAACTAGTGGCCTGGTGCATGAAATTCATGCGGGGGGGGGGGCGGTTCCCTCAGCCCAGCCTGCCCCCTCTCGCAATCGGGGACTGCTGGCTCCTAACCATTCATCTGCCTGCCTGCCTGATTGTCCCTAACCCCTCTACTTGCCTGCCTGATTGCCCCTAACTGCCTCTGCCTGCCTGCCTGATCACCCTAACTGCCCTCTCCTGCCAGCCTGATCTTGCCCCCAACTGCCCTCCCCTGCAGGCCTGATCTCACCCCCAATGGTCCTCCTCTGCCAACCTGATCTTGCTCCCAACTGCTATCCCCTGCCAGCCTGCTCACCCTCAACTGCCCTCCCCCGCTGGCCTGATATCACCCCCAGCTGCCCTTCCTTGCCAGCCTGATCACCCTTAACTGTCTCTGCCTGCCTGATCACCCCTAATTGCCCTCCCCTGCTGGCCTGATTGCACCCCAACTGCCCTGCCTGCTGGCCTGATTTCACCCCCAACTGCCCTCCTCTGCTGGCCAATTTGGTTCTGATTGGTTGGTTTCTATGCCAGTCAGTTTCAAAAGCTCCGTCTCCTAGGCAGCCATTGGCTGCTCACAGTTGACCCAGATTTGGTTCTGATTGGTTGGTTTCTATGCCAGTCAGCGTCTCTGGGCCTATCAATGGGGCCTGATCAGAAAGGCAGCCCCAGTGGAGGCCTGGAGAGAAATGGAGGCTTGGCTGCTGGCCCAGCCTGGAGAGAAAGAGAGAGGCAAGTGCTAATCAACAGCTGCCACACAGGCTACAGATAAGACCCTGCTTCGCTCTTCAGGCCTCTCTCTGGGCCTCATTTGCAGCCCCCTCAGCAGTTAGTGCTGGGTCGGCACGGCAACCCAGTGCTGACTGCAGGACTGACTTCTGGTTGGTTGAGCCTCCGGTAGTGATGGACTCAGGGTTTTTATATATTAGGATAATTTACCAAAAATATAATCTTAAAACTGAAATACTAAGTGTACAAAAAATCTCATATTAAAGTCTCTGTTCGTCATTGTGTAGCCTTTCTGTTCTAAAGCTAAAACAATGTCAGAGGTTGCTCTTTCTGATGCATGTCTACACCTTCACCGCTGCCTCATTTCTGCACAGATCTTATCACAGACAGAACAAAAAAGCAACAACAACAACAATAAACAAGCATAAATATTTTGCCTTGCTTTCAGAAACAGTGGAATCTGAAGCAAAACTACATTTTTTTCTTGTTATTTAGAAATGTTCTTTGAAAGAAAGTGAGCCTACAGACCAATGTAAAAGACTTTCTAATTACATTGTTGCTCATAAAACCTTACTTCAGCTTCAGGTTGCTGTATCTAGGTTTCTGATATAGTTTTGGCTGTTCATTCTCTTGTGACAATCCATCATTCCACACGATTTCTCACGAGTTGAAATGCCCTGTCCTTTGTTTTGCAGATACCTCAAATCAGCTATGCATCCACAGCCCCTGAGCTAAGTGACAACACCAGGTATGACTTCTTCTCTAGGGTGGTCCCGCCTGACTCCTACCAAGCACAAGCCATGGTGGACATTGTGACAGCCCTGGGGTGGAATTATGTGTCGACACTGGCTTCTGAGGGCAACTATGGAGAGAGCGGTGTGGAGGCGTTCACTCAGATTTCGAGGGAGATTGGTAAGCATCTATTTATCGGTGATTGTATTTGGAGGTGACAGGTTGCGGGAGTCCTATCACCTCCAAGCACTTTGTGAGCTGTATGCAGTAATGAGAGCTCCTACAGATGCGTGACCTGGCTGTCCATTCGAGGGGGCAGCTGAGTTTATTATAAATGTTTGTGTTGTTCATGGCCCATCAAGGTGACACTTTGGTGCTAATTCAGGAAATAGAGCTTCTGACTCAGGCAGACATTTTTAAAAGTTGTCTGTTTTGACAAGGGAGTTTGCTGGCACATAAGAGCCACTGTAAATTTGAATAAATGACATACTTTCTGATTGTTCTAGATGGAAGTTTACATTAGCAAGTCATTAAATTAAAAAAATAAAGGCCGTGGAATTTACATCGAACTCTAGAGGGATTAAGACTGGTAATCATTTTAAAACAATACTGAAGGAGCCCCCAAGGCTATGCTTCAGCGATATTGTGATTGTCATATTTGACTTCTTGCATTTTCAGTCTTACCTTAAACACTGAAGCTCACAGTGGGATGAAGGGCAAACTGTGAAAACGTGGGTTAGAGCAGGGTGCTGATGAACTCCATTCTGGGCTTTTTCAAGGTGCTTCTCCACATCCCTACAGGCGTCTCACCGGGTGCATGTTTACTTATGAGGTTGTAAATCCATTCCACTTAGAGGTCAAACCTTATTGCTGATTGGTCAACAACACAACTTCGTTGATGAAGGGAGATATATTACTGTTACTTAACAAATACTCTTAAGAACTACTGAATAATATTTACCTATTTTTTCCTGTAAGCGTAATATTTTGTGGAGAAAGGAAAGTGACTATTGGTGATTTTGAACTTGAGAGAAGAAACTATGTTGATGATTTCTTGTCTTTCTTGGAGACTTCAACTCAGGAAAAGATCATGGGAGTGATTTGGACTTATCCATAATTAGCAAGGACAAAGGGTTATTGGAATAATTTATTGGAATAAGGTCTTCTCTTGAAAGATTTGCAGATGCTTGGGATCTGTTTTGCATAGAATAGGGCATGAAGATTTATTTTACACATTATTTGGTATGTTTATAATTTGTTCCAGTGCCGTGTTGCTGCATAAGAGCTAGAAGAGGCGAAAAGGCCTGGTGTTGCTGGACAGATTGGATTCACTGATTTAATCAGCCAACTATTCACACCTGTTGTTAAGTGTCCACGATGCCATAATGTTTGCTCTTTGGAATTTAAAATTATATCATTATTGCTATAAAAATGATTCAAAAACACTTTAAGTGCTGGCAAGTTATATTACCTTCTTGGATAAGAATGCCAAGTTTGTCTTTAGAGGAAATGCTCACTAAAATGAAAATAATAGCTTCTGGAATTAGGATTAATGCATTATTTATGTAGCGGATGTCAGTTCTCACCAGAATGGTAATTCCACAAGAGAAAGGAAACTAATCGAGTATGTATTGAAATGCTTAGTCTTCTGTGGCGATCCTCTGTACTCTTCAGCTATAGGACACATTTTGTGTGCATGAAACAGATGACTATGAAAAATTAAATATGGGACACAATCTCCCCATTGTTGGAGAATCTGATAGAATGCCTTGTTCTAAAAGTTAAGTGAGATTGTAGTTTTATTCTTTTGACTAAAAGAAAGCAATACTAGTTTCAGTTTTTATGGAGCATTGCTAACTTTGGTAACACTGTCACATCAAAGGATTCAGATGGTGCCATTCATTATTCCCATTTCTATCTTAGTCATTATTATAGGAGAAAACAATTTTAGTGCCTTGTGTATGCTCCTGATGAGTGCAATGTGTTTCCTCTGTGTCGATCTTTTCAGTATTCTGAGACTTGATTGGCTGTCCATTCTATTTCCATTCTCACTTATCTGGGGATGGAGGAAGCCTGGATTGTCAATTAATATGCAGAATGCTGAAAAGGCCAAATTAGTATCACACTAGAGTATGTCATGGAATATATTAAATATCAAAATCATTCCTCATTTTAATGACAAAGATTTTATCTAGAACAGAAATAGCTGAAAATGAAACCTTTTACATGACAATGATATTAATGGGGTTGGCAAATGGTAGCAACTTAACCCATTCTGAAGTGAACTGATGGCTCTATGAAAATTCATTAGTTCTGTAACATTTGCTTCTCCTGCTATAATATCAGTGACATCTTTGTCACCATGTTAATAGCGTGTTTTCAAAAATTTTAGTATCTTGACTTAGGAGTCAAGTAATAAATTTATTTTCTGGAGCGTCTGCCTATTAATAAAATTATGTATTTTCCCAACTCTTATAAATTTTCCTGTACTCTGTTCTGAATTTCTCCCTTCAGCAACATTCATTACTAAGAAATTTCAATGTAAATTGAGGCTTCCTATGTTTTAGCTCTGATTAATTTAGACAAATCATGGAATATAGTGAAATGAAAATCTGTTTAGTGATAAATTGCTTGTACGGTGTGATTAGAACACTTTTCATTTTGACACAACCTGAGACTTGGGCAGGGCCTCGGTCTTTCCTGAATCTTGAACGAAGTTATGAGTAAATGATGGTCATGAACGGAGACGCCAGTGATGGTTCTTCTCTAGTCAAGATCCTTCTGAGGGAGACAGGGGCAGGAGCTATGTGACCAAATAAAGACAAATACAGTGGGGCCTTGACTTACGAGTTTAATTCGTTCCATGACGGAGCTCAGAGCTCATAACTCAAATTACTCGTATGTCAAATCAATTGTGAACGAGTGAGACACGTGATGCTGGGCTGATGTTGTGGTGTTCACTGTACGTTCCCTGCGCCAACTAGCGGTGGGGTATCTGAAGCTGGCTCGTAACCCAAATTTTAGCTCGCAACTCAAAGCAAAAAATCAGCTGAGAGACGGCTCGTATCTCAAAAAACTCGTTAGTCGGGAAACTCGTAAGTCAAGGCACCACTGTAGCTTCTTGGTACCCTAGCTGTTATAGTTTCCCCACAATGCATCCTTTACTGTAGGATTTTCACTGAAGAAGGCAACAAAATATATTTGAGATCAGCAAATAGCACAATTTGACTGAAGCATAGTTTGTGTAGTGAGGTATGGGAGACACAATAAGAAGGCTTGACATGGACACCTAGTTGAGTATTTCATCCCATAGGATGGTAATTTTATCTTTTATGTGCCAGATTTAAGATTGTGCAAATGAAAAGTGGAAGATAAGGGGACCAGCTGAGAGACCACTGCGATATCAGTCTCAGTCTGCTAAGTAGGAGAAATGGGGAGATGCTGGGCAAAGCAGTTATGTAGGAGATGTAATGTGCAGAATTGTAACGAGTTAATTATTAAGAGAGTTGATTTAAGTGTTCTCACCACGCACACACAAAATAGTAACTATGTGAGGTGATGGACATGTTAACTAGCTTGATTGTGGTAATCACTTCACAATGTTTATGTATATCAAAATGTCATGTTGTATACCTTATAGATATGCAATATTTAATTGTCAATTATACTTCAACAAAGCTGGAAAAAATAAAATTGGTATAAATGAAAAAAGAAAAAAGGCATGGGAATAATGACCAAGCCTTAGCAATGGAAAGCTCAGAGGGTGGAGAGTGTTCTCTTCTCTTTTTAAAAAATCCTCACCTGAGGATATTTTTTCCACTGATTTTTTTTTTGAGAGAGTGTAAGGGAGGGAGGGTGGGAGAAAGGGTCAGAGAGAGAGCAAGAGAGTGAGAGAGTCATCATTGTAAGGGAGACACATCGATTGGTTGCCTTCCACATGAGCCCTGACAGAGGCTGGGGATCAAACCCTCTACTCAGGTACATGCCCTTGACCGGGAATCAAACCCTGAACACTCTAACCACTGAATCACACCGGCTAAGGCAAGTGTTCTTTTCTCTTGATGAGTTTATGGCCATGGAAAGGCCCTCAGTCCCCTTGAAAAATATTTTCATGATGGGAGATGGTAGGAGTTCTTGTGGAAAAATTCAAGGATACCGAGCAGATTTTCATAAGAGAACAGGAACTTTATGAGCGGAATAGCTGAATGTGTGTGTGGTCCAGAGAATCAAGTAGTGTCCTTGTGAGGGGGTATATTCGTTCCTTGTGCTGCCATAACAACATACCAAAACCCAACAGAAATGTATGGTCTTAGTGCTGGAGGCTAGAAATTTGAAGTCACAGTGTCAGCAAGGCCATGCTGCTTCTGAAAGTTGTAAAGAATTCTTCTTTGCCTCTTTTAGCTTCTGGTGTTCGCTATTAATCCTTGTTATTTATTGGCTTGTAGACACATCACTCCAACCTCTGCCTATGTCATCACATTTCTCCCTTCTCCCTTCTTGTGTATCCTCTTCTTGTAAGGATGCCAGTCATGTTGGATTAAAGACCCATTCTACCCTAGCATGACCTCATCTTAACTAATTACATCTGTGGTGAACCTCTTTCCATAAAAGGTTACATGCTGAGGTACTGGGGTCATGATATCAGCATATCTTGTTGGGAGACACACTTTAATACCCATTAACAGGGGGCAATAGTGAAGAAGGGTGTACTTAGGGAGATAATTTCCAGGGACAGGGGTGGGAGTTAGACCAGAAGGACAACAGACTAGCAATAAAGATGAGACCAAATTTTGTTAATGGAGAAGCCTGTAATATAACCAGTTCTGAAGTTCCTTTGGCATGTTACAGAATTCTACTCTCCCAACCTGACTATGTGGGTAGACTGGGTTATCTAGTGGATAATTCAGGGTTCCAGGCTGGGGAAAGTGGTGGGATCCTAGTGTCTGACCTTCCCAGGATCCTAGGTAGTCAGGAGCTTCCCAGTAAGACCACACTGGGCACTTCCTGTATGGTGGTGCACTGGCTCTTCAAACCCCCTGTCTTGTGTAATTCCAAGATGCTGTGCTTTTTGATGACACTTGGAAAATTATGGACATCCAGCGTTCTTTCTGGCCTAATTTATCTTTATGTGTCACTTTGGTTTCTTTTGGCTTGAGGGAAGGATAGAGCTTAGTTGCTGA